ACTAGATATGGAGCTATTATGGAGTCTTAAATTGAGATCAGGGTGATTGCCTTCGGGCGCTTTATAATATCATTAACGCGCCAGGCTTTCGCGAGGGAACTCCTTTTCTTAATGTGAGGGAGAACATTATCATAGTGAATCCTTGAAGAACATACACTGCTGCAGTAATCGCGCACTATTCGATAATCGCACCAAACCTCTATCGACCCCAAGGGAATGCCCTTCTTTGCCTCTTACTGTCATACGAATGACGTAAAACATTGTCTATTTAAGGAACGAACGAATAGACCCTTAGTGTTTTTTGATAATGAATTACATTTCATCATCTTCAGAATTCATCGGGTGATCAGTTCCTTATTTACTGGTACATGTATTTATTTACATGTATATGTACATGTACATGTACTCAAGGGTATATCAACGTCATTCCATTGGGAGGTCATATGGAGTCAAAAAAGCGGAACCCATACCCCCACAATTATATTTCATGTTTAAAAAATATGTAGCACCAAACATAATAATGACTGGAAAGCCAATTTCATAAGCTACTTTTAGATGAAAATATTACTGAAATTGTCTCAATCCGTTCAAAGAATGTCACCATATAAACACAATGACCCTAAAATCTCTTTCGTCCAAAAATGCGATTTCAAGAATCGTTGTCACAAAAGTCTTCAAACATCACCAACGATAAAACCTCAGTTTTAAAGTTACAAATATTCAACAAAGTCCTTTTGAAGGCCCGTCTTTTAAAATGAGTGGATTGTATACATCATATTGTTTGCCTAACCAGGGTTGTTAATAAAGATATAGTTTACTACAGTTGTTGACAGTCGTTGAAACAAGTATTCTGTGTCATTTTCTTTGTTGTTCCAAACAGTCAGAATGCACAATAAATTGTTTTTTTTTTGACGAAACAGGTTTTAGGGTTATTGTGTTTATGGTGATATTCTTTGAACGGATTGAGCAATTTCAGTACTTTTTCCATCTAAAAGTAGCTTATGAAATTGGCTTTCCAGTCATTATTATGTTTGGTGCTATATATTTTTTTAAATATGAAATATATTTTTTGGGGGTTTGGGTTCCGCTTTTTTTTTTACTCACCCTGTATATAAAGCGCATTGTATCGTTGTTTCCAAGCGATTTACAATTAAAAACTGCCCTTTATTCCAAACAAGCAGGTCTTAACGTCATGATTTTGTTTGGCCTCTGAAGCAGATCTTGTTAAGATCGAAACGTCAGACCGTTTTGTTTAGATTTGTATATTTCAGGTCAATCCAGTCAGGAAGCAGTTTGCAGCAGTTTTATTCATTTTCAACGTCATGAATTGATAGATAGTGGTATCTGCGCAACTGCTCTTTACATAAGAGCCTAAGAAAACAATTCAATACACTTTCTCCCATGTGGATTTCATCACCGAGCACAGATGTCTTAAAATCGGCACTAGGTTGTGGTGACAGTTAGTGGAAACCGGCGCGAGGCAATAAAGGTACAAATGTTCAGAAAGATGGGGTACCGGATAGAATGCACGTCTTGCTCAGTGCTTCCTCACGCATAGTGGCACTGTGGCAGGTCATGCGTAGGAGAGGATGTCGAGATGTAGCAGGGAGTGAGAAAACTCATCGCAGTAGCGACCCACCGTGCCATCATCATAAAAGAAAGCAGCGGTGCATAAAGAGCCCCATACCTGCTCGAAGCTGTGACAAGTCGGTGTCACAACAGGAAAGAAGAAAAAACCTCTCGCATAGGTCTCGGAGAAAAGTACACGGAGTTTACGACCGGGTGCGGTTGATTAATCTCGCCGCGTACACGCGCGCAATTACTGCTTCACCTAATCGGGCTGAACTCGCCCAATGACGGACGACAAACGAACCAGCTGTCAACATGAACTTGATAGAGCTTCGGATTTCATCAGGGAGTAGGGAGGCATGGACGACGGCTGTTTGGTGTTGAAGGCCGAGATATACGACGTGATGCACGGCGTGAAACTGATACGGCATTTGAAGAGCTACATAATGCATAATGTGAAACTCTTCATGTGGCAATTCACATACTTATGCGCCTGTTCAGAACACTGACTATAAAACGCGTCGATAAAAACTTCATTTTGAGGAATTAAAAAAAAATATAAACATCGTTCCCTCTTTAACTAAATGTCTTTCGTTTGCAATTCTAATGTGTGTGTTGTTTCATTATTATTTTAAAGACACAAAGAGAGAATGTTATTTTGGCAAGCAATTGGGTTGCCTTGGTGAAGGAACACAAGGAAAAAAACAACAATACCATGGTATCATCAATAACAAAATCAACGAACACATCAGTTGGAGTGCCAATGTAATACGTATACAACAGGGACATCAGTCAAGCGCTGTTCATAGGCATTCGTTTCTATTACATTCATTCAATTTATATGCCTTTTCAATTCAAATGAGATTTGGCTCAACCGCCCGCTGTCATCCGCAATCAAGGTCATAAAATCGGAGTACACAGGTCGTCATTTCTTTGTATGGAATTGTGGAGATTCCTAGGATAAGATTGATGACAAATCCACGTGGTAACTACCCGCGAAATAACTGCGGCATTATATCATTTCCCGCCAGTCTTCGCATGTATAGGCCTATACTTGAAATGTTTCGAATTGATCAGATTCCTGAAAGGAGAGTTAATTCTTGACCCCTTTTTTGCATTGTCCATGTGGAAAAATAATTATTGGGCAGAAAGGAAATTATATCCTCGTCCCCTACAAGGATGAAATTTGATCACTGCTTTTTCACAAACTTGGTAAATGTTCATAAGTATTTTGTATTTTGGTAACATATCATGGTCTCTAATTTTGTGACCATTTACCACCCTCGAATTATTAAAGTAGCTACCTGTAATGACTTTTTTATTTTCAAAAATAATAATTAATAGGTCATGCGAATTATATCAATTGTACCATTTGGTATCTTTAAATAGGGTTAAATGGTATCCGTAGCTGTGGATTAAACCCGATTTAGATGAATTCAGATTAATATGACTATAATTATGAACCCAATCCATACTAAGCTTACTGTCGCTTGCTCGGTCTGCGCAGGATTATGTGAAGCTTGTTCAAGTTGGTTGTGCCGATTTATCATTTCAAATTGCAATGCAATGAAAATTCGATCTTCCGAGACTTTCTATCCACAAACGCTTTCTGCGTGACCACGTTAATTGTAGAATGTAAACACACAACGGAATCTTACCTAATTCAAAATGCATGCGCTTGATACGTTAATTACCTTACCTAAAGCCGGCTGTAGCGCTACACATCGAAAGACGAAATTAGACCGCAAATTATCTTAAACGATGCATGATTGTTATTGTATTGGATCCAGATGTCATCGTTAAAGTCAGGTAATGTCGAGTCATTAACCCGACGTTACACAATGTTCTGATGTAGCAACGGTGAATAAACTAATAACAAATAATTGGTAGACTTTGTGACCCATGGGAAATCTGATTGATAAAACTGATTTGTCGAAATTGACTCAAATCGGTTCGTATAGGTTTTCAATTCATGCATTTAGAAGCAAGGGTTTGTGCCACACGAATGTCCCTCTTTAACACCCTGTATGCCATTTCAGAATCTCAAAAGAACAAAACTACATCATCTCTCTAGCTATTTTTTTTTTAAATTTAAGAATAAATGTACACACCCAATTCTTCACTCGCCCCCTTTATTTCCCGTACGTTTCCTGACAGCTAGATCCGCTCTAACGATTGTTTGAAAAAGGAGCCCATTGAATACCAGCTGTTGTGATTCAGTCATTAAATTTCTTCATAATCAGTCGATACGAATTTATATCCGCAGTCACTTTTATGGATGAAGTATATATTTATTATCTATACGGTTAAACGGTGTTTTGTATATAGTCACCGCCTATAAAAGGATAAAATATCGTTTAGGAGATCAATAAAACTACTGAAGTTCAAATTTGTGAAGAAGCTTTATAATTAACGGTGAATCATTTGTTTCCAAATTTTTAACGTTATGAATTGGACAGTAAATTGTTAATAATCGCTAACAAGAAAAATAGCATCAATGTGTTAACATTTTGGAATCGAAATTTGATTTTTTTTTATACAAAAAGAAGGACCCCACAAAAGTACATTTTACAATAATCCGGTTTCAGAACAGCTCGACAATATATTAATATAAATGACAATTTTTCGCAGAATAATATCGGTATAAAAAAACACAGCAGGTGTTCCTGTCTGTTTCGATCCTGACACTGCCGTGAAATATTTACAATGTGGGCAGGTTTTATGATGTCATCTCTCTGACATCTCGGAAACACATCATCTGCGACGGAGTGTGATACAACACTAAGCCCCTACTGTTCAATTATTCATGCACCTTTATACATGACTGCATATTATGTACAGTGTGAGAATCTGTTGAGTGTTAAACAAAGCTTTTTGTTTTCTTAAAGTGGTGTTTGTTTGACATTGTGAATAGCGCCTAACGTAGCAAATAATACACCCACTTAAGCCTTGTTTTGAGATCAATAAGATTTTTGTGCTCAATCTTGTTTTGAATATTCTTATGGAGGAAACCCTTTTGATACATCTGTTCTGATATTTAAATGTGTAGTTGGGCTCTGTTTCAACTCATCTCGATAGATCGAAGTACATATAATATATCTCTTTCATGTGTTGCCCTTTAAGGCAAGTCCATTATTCAAGGTCATAAAATGTGCAGATTTTAAGTTTCACCTAATAAAATGATAATATAATGAACATTCAACAGAATGTTGTGAAGAAGCGTTGTCTGACTTGCCAGATCATTCCAGGTTTAGGGCATATCAAATCATGAATAACACACATTTTATACATTCATGGAAAAACTAGTATTACAATCGGTTGAATTAGGAATAAATATCAATAAGTTTAACTCATAAGTTTGTAATTTCTTCTGATGACACACACATCCCTGCAAGAAATAAAAATGACAGGGATGAGTAGGTTTCTCTTACCTTGCGGAAAGATGGATAAAATGATGGACAGCAGCACCACCAATGGTGCACAAAATGATATAGCATCCATGTTTGTTGTGTGTAGACCGTGTCACCTTGTCTTTGCTCTGTGCAGGCATTCGATCATCGGGGAGAGGACGAGGTAGCGTCTTGCACATCTGAACTCACCGGGTTGCGGGCCAAGGAATCTAAAGTGTGTAGCCAGTAAGAAACAGGAAGACCTTTACTGGGATCATCGGCTATAAGAATGTGAATAATGACTGGGTATTATGACAGCGATTCGCACGGGCTGAGTGACTGATCCCCCTGTAGACGCTAGGGATCAGATTCCGTATCTTTTGGACGCATAGGACAGGGGACGTTAGGGCGCAGGGAGCCAACGATTGACTGCAGCCGGGCGTTGATGTGTTAATAGGGGACCAGCGGTGTAAGACGATAATCGATGGAGTATCGATTTAGTCGGGGAGCAAAACATCTTGTTCAACCGTCAAAAAAAAAAAAAAGGATTTCACATTCGAATCTTTATGAAAGGCACTCTTCCTGTCTGGAGTAATTTTCATGAGAAAATGCAGTCGGGAAACGTGTTTGACAAGCTGGCATAATTTTTGAATGCTAGTTTGTTTTACATTTCAGAAGCACTGTAATCAGATGTTTTGAGAACCAAACATCTCGTCATTGCGAAGAAAATATGTAATGTTATCAAAAGCAATGGCTCAAGTGCTAGACTTGCTTACTCATCGTCTCATACGCCTTTAGGCCGAGCGAAAATAAAAGAATTCACAAATTGTCATACATTGGTTACAAGTTTAATGAGAAATTCACCCCAACAACGTAATAAATGTGTAAATAATTATTTAACGATTTTCACTTTGAAACTTCATTTAGCTTTACCAAAATTCCTTTAATTTATTTATAAAACTGTGAACAAATTAATAATCCTTTGAATGAATAAAAGCGCGGAACATTTATTATGTGTACAGTTTGTTGTGACAGTAGATATTCCGTACTGGCGAAGGTGCCTTTTCAAAAGTCTATGTAAATATCTTGACAGTGTATGGATGCAACTCAGCCGCGCACTCTTTCACCCAAATGAAGCGGTGATCTTGTATCAGCCTACGTGTCATATACTGCCTCGTTTGACGTGGTTGAGCAGAAACGGTTTTTACCCAAACGATGGTGGCAGTGCCAAAAAAAAAAAAAAAAAAGCAAAGCGTTCCCTGAATTAGCAAGCGATCAATATCAGCTGTGTATAGTATATCGCCTGAGCTACTGTAATATCTGTGCACGATACAGGCAGTCGTGTTTAAATCCTAATACTAGTTAGTTGCAGATGTTTCCATATGCGCCCCCTGGGCACGGGACCTTACCTCCGCATGAATAATAAAGGTCACGGATGTACAACTCGTTCCCATATTATTCCAATGTGGATACTCGGTTTAATTTTCAACCTCAATTTTTGTGTTTATTTGAGGACAGTGTCAACACTTTGATTTCAGCGTGCAATATCTACCTCAGTGTGGCCTTCTATGGTGTAACAATCGTCGTGCAACGAGCACGCAACCGTTTTTATGCTACAATCGATGCATAAACATGGCCTTGCACGGCAAATTATTCCTCTGACAAAATAATGTATCAACGTGTATCATCACTACTCTCTCGACATCCAGAAACTAACAATTTTCAAAGTTTTTGACAAACTGAATCTCAAAAACAAAAAGCAAGAGAATGTGCAGGACCCAGTTTTGACTTCGATTTCGAGACCAAATTAAACAGAACAGAGAACTGTGAAACTTAAGCCTTACTAAGATACTGTCAAGTTTTTTTTTATTTTTACGAATACTAAATTGTGATCACGTTCATCACAAATCAGACACAAGACAACGACAAGACTAATCACAAGTTACAATCACAAAGCAACATCGGATAAACACAACTCAGGGACGCGATTATCAATTTAAAAACCAATCTGAATATTGGATAAACGGTCTTAAATATGCAATTCTTTCAATAATAATAATGTCTTTCTCTCAAAATAAAAAATCTGAATCCAGACAAAAGTCTGAAAAATCTAATGCCTGCAACGACAAAGGAAAGATTTTGTCCAAATTTACTTGGATAGCTTGTCACGTGACACGAGACTGGATGACTTGAAACTGACTTGTGGCGACTTAAATTGCGTGTAAACGTATGATATCTTCAGACAAGGCAATGACACATACGTACATATACACGAAGGCTGTGAAAATAACCCGAGGAAATTCACGCAGGACTTTCAAAAAAATCATGTTGCAGAAATGTCTGGGTGTGTTCATGTGAGGAAAGTTCCACAATGCTTGAAGGATTTGCTGTCGATCTCACGTCAGAAAAAAATACATTATTCGGGGAGCATGGAGAGTAGCTCGAAGCTATTACGTGTTTTACAATTCAAGTGAAGAAAACCCAAAAGTTTCAACGCGTAAGGCTGGCTTCGCGAGGGGCATAAGCAGCAAAAACGTGCATGAAATAATTCAGAAAAGACAGTAACGCAGGACTGTCTCCGATTAATGCCATCAGAATATGCACTTGTATTCACAGCTGAAATGAGAGAACACTCAAAGTTAGACCTTCCGGCTATTTTTATTGTACAACTACTCGCAATCTAGACGGACATTCGCGGCCAAATTTAGGTATGGATTTCAGCAAATACTGTCGTGTTTGCAGTCGAGGATCTGTACCTGTACAAAATACACACCGAGCATTACATTTTCAACTGTTACAACAATGCCCACCAATTTACATAAAAACAAATCTTATTTTAGTTCAACAAAATTCAATCTTCCTTGCGTACAATAGCAAACCAAGATACCCTTCTATCAACTTAGTTTCAGAAAAGAAAAGAAAACAACAAAAAGACCAACATAAATCAAGTCTATACATGTACTCACAAATTCCAGTCCGAGCTCCATTGTATTTAGCATTCCGTTAGACTGCTGTTGATACTTGCACCTTTGTAAATAACGGCCGCTGCTCGCTGGCTGCACAAGCTGTTGTAAACCCGCACTGCCCGTTGCCCAATACCGTTACACTTGCACAATGGCAAACGGTTCATATCTAATTAGAGAAAAGAACACACATAAAAGGGGCTGGGCGTTTGGCTCTATTGTGATGAGGTCCTATTGTGATTTAAATGATGGATTTATCACCGCATCAATACATGGCAGTTGGGCTGGTCAACGCGTGATTAGACGTTACTGTGGCCATAGTGATGCACAATACGTGCTTGTGTAAGGGTAAACACTAATGGTTGAATGTGAAAGTACGCGAGTACTAGTCTGAGCAGAACATCTGATGATCTTCACTTAGTTAAAGGGTCCATGCAATGAATTTTTCTAGGAACATATTTTGTGCAAGTTTCTACTCCTCTTAAATGTGTGAAAAATATTTCACATTCCTTTTTGGTTAATTTGATTGAAAAGTGCACTTCTTTAGACATTTAAAATTGTCTATGCTTTTCCAGAGAAATGAGGGCGTTGTTGTTGTGACGTCATTTCAGGAAGACACTTTTCAGTTTAAGTGTTTTCTGATAAAATTGTGAACTCAACAATTTCGCTCTTTGAAATCATTTGTGACAATAGTTTGCTCATTGGCTTACTGCACGTACTGACACAACAACGAATCACCAAAGAAAAGGAAATCCACAACAGCAAAGTATCCAAAATTCTGCAACTTTTGGTGCAGAAATAACTGTAACATTGAGGTTTCTGCCTGAAATAACATTACAATTTTGCTCATAAAAATGGAAATTTGCATTAGCATAAAATAAAAAGGCACTAAAATACCCTTGAAAATGGTAAAACAAAAATTTAAAATAAGGTTAAATGAGACAAAAAAGTGACTTTCAAGAATTGCATTAAAATAATTAAATTACATGGGCCCTTTAAATACACCAAACCGGGCACGCTAACAATTCTGTCACGAAGGCCCCCTTCAATGGCGAAAGCATTGTCTATCACGGAAAGTACAATAGCGTGCACAATAGTTTCTCCATTGAAGGGGGCCTTGTGTGTACAGTGATCACGTGCCCTGATTTATTGTCAAGACAACACCGTTTGAGAATACAGGAGAATTTTTTGTTGACAGGAAGTTTTTCATGAGCACATTTCGAAGAACACTTTTTTTCTTCTAAATATGACATTCAAGCTAACATTAGATATCCAATGCGAACAATGTAATCTCCTGAGAAATTTAAATACAGGAGAGTTATTTTCAAAAGTGTCTCTGATTAGGTCCTTCATCTTTTTTTTGTAGTCAACATCGAAAACAATTTGATGTTTCACTGACACTGTTTTGCGTTTTCCTCCTTTGTTAATTGAAAGTAACAAATATATTTTCCTTTGTCATGTTTTAAATAAGGTCAGAATTAAGAAAATTCAGTTTGTCTTCTACAATATTCATTTTCTTAGCTTTGTTACAGAAAGGAATATAATTGTCTCTGCACCAATTAGCTTCATCCAAACAACTAAGGCTATGTTATCAGAATTTCAAATTTCATCTTTGCCGAGGAATATGGTGTATTGTTTCAAAGCAAAATTCTTATCAAATATTTACAATTTTAACCTCAACAAAATATGGTTGTTGTCTTTGGAAACCGTGGATTATACTGTATGACAATAGATTGATGGGCAGAGTAGCTGTTCTTGTCAAAATCGAATTTCCAAAAGTCAAAAGTGAGACATGCGCAATACGATTATGTACTCCAATTTTTAACGAGAGTGTAAATTCCACTACAGCGGCTCATCAAAGAGCCGTAGGATCATCAGTGTGATCATACAGCCTAAGGCATAGGGATCAGGATCTCGGCTATTTGCGGAATGACAACAAAGGTAAATCTTTTCAGGTATTTTGAGGTACGTTCTGAGCACATCCTTCTTTTGTTGCAAAGAGGGGTACATCAACAACCCCCAGATAATTCCTCGACCCCACGCGGAATCGCTGTCAATTGATTGGTACAATGCGAGGGACAAATCTGGAGTCTTTATTTGTGTCATTTAGAGGTCCTCTCGTAAGGAAGTCTTGTTAGGCAAGGTTTGAATAAAAGCGGTGAACATACACTCTTGAGTAGCGAAGTAGTTACAGAAACAGCATTTCAAGTACCAATTTGTACTGTCACACGGTCCATTCAATTCCCGTTTTTTATTATCACTCGTAGGGCAACCATTTCTTTGTCCTTTGATAACATTGTAGAGGGAGCCAGCAGAGACCAGTATACTTCCTTGCCATCATTAGAACAAATTCATGTATGCTGCAGCCATATTGAAATGACCATTAATGACACCATGTGCGTTGCTCGAAATGACAAAGTAAGTGACGGTGAATGAAGACTGACCATCGACTTGGTGGCGGTAACCTGACAATTTGTCTTGACTCATCACTCATAAGGCAACCATTTCCTGCCGTCTGGTAAAACTGCGAAGGGATTACGTACACCATCTCATCTCATGGGCCTTTATTTTATTCCCATATCTTTTGTCTTGAGATTGAGTGAATCATGAAGTGAAGGCCTGAACTTTTTCTGCCGTAGTGCTCTCCTGCGAAGGAATTAAACTCGGATTTCTTCATATCTATGCCACTATAATTGTTTTTTATTTTTACATTCTGCAGCTATTTTTATTGACATGTTTTCTTAGTATCGGTTTCACACGCTGCTCGCCTAATGACCGGCCTCACGTGAGTCATTTAATCTCATCGATTTGACGCGGGACGTCGGGCGGTAACTTTGGCGACTGGCTGTGCGGTGAAAGAGGGTCGATTTTGTTGGGCGGCTCATTAAGACAACCCGCGGAGGGGCGGGGCACGGGGCAGACGCCCCCATTTAGAAACAATTTGACTATACCACTGGGAAAACCTACGGGTATTACTACAATTAATGAAGGGGATCATGTGATTTGAAATCACGTTCACTTTTTTTTCTAGATCTGTCGGGGTGTAGTTTGTTCTTACATGCCAGGAAATCTCTCACAAGGATTAAGTATTAAATATATAATACCTTTCATCTAAACATACTAAGAAACACATGTAGCATACATAAGTAATATATGTTGCATCTTGCTTACAAAAAGAATGTTCTGAACCAAAACTGTTGTCAAATCCTATTAAACTTCAAATAATGAAACGGTGTCTTTGAAGAAGAGAGTGAAGTGGCACACACTTCATAGATGGGTCGTGGTAATATCACTCTGAAATGGGAACACTGGTAGATACGCTTCACTATATTCAGGTTGTTTCCCTACAACGATGAAGAGGAGTTTGGTAAATCCAGCATTGGTATGTTTGCCACTTAAGATTATATTCTCCTTCTCAAACTCCTCTATAAGACTAAGTACGTCTTGAAAGCTTTCCAAAGTTCTCTTGCACTCTTTCTTTGTAAATGGTGGTTCCACTTAGTCTACCCTTCCAAGCAGGCCATAGATACGCCAACGCGACAACCAATACAGGCGCACGGCAACGATGTATCGTTTTGGGTCCATCCATGTCCATCGTTACCAAGCTATCCCCAAGGCCATCCTTCAAAAATTAGTCAGTTTTTCCATATCGATACAATCACTGTGACTAAACACCAAACCCATGAAAGTGAACTCCCTTGAACTGTGGCCGCCCATCATTGCGTTCATGCTGCCGATTACCGGTGGTAAACGGACACCAGTGAATCACGCGGGTGTGAGCCTTCTAATTGATGGAATGAATCGTGGTAATCTGATCGAGAACAATCCTGACATTCACGACAGGGTCAATCACAGTAAGTCACCATTGATTGGAAACGTGGAAATTCCTTGGATTTGGGATGACGATGAGTCATTGACCTTGTGGGTACACGGTTTGCCTCAGCCGATATTGTTGAATTATACCCCGATGGAGCCAGTTACCTAACTTTATATACATTTATACCAAATTGTGATCACTGGTTCAATACTTCGTAATAAGCACTAAACCGACCTCAATTCTCCAACATATAAGTACATCATAAATTAATTGAAGGAAGACATTCAAGGCTGAATCAGCCCAAGCCCTTGATGTTGTTTTTACTCGATGTTTTCTTTGCTTCTTCAAAATGAAATTATCCGACAGGAGTTATTTACAAAGCTCATGTGGTTAGGCGTTGAAACATGGTGAAACAGGGTTACCAGAAGTAAAAGTCATCAATGGTAATTGTTGACTTTTACTTCCGGTGAGCTCGATATGCAAATTAAAAAGTTCTGATTATAACTATGGAAACTTATGATAGTGGTGATGGTCAGGGAGGCCAAACTATAACAAGGGTGATTGCACGATAGTGACGATGCTGATGAAAGCAATGGTATACATGTATTGGCAAATACAGCATGCTGACGATAACCTTTAAGACGACTATAGCGTTGATACCTATGGATCAAGAGAGAAACGAAGATGCCCATTTACGAGGTTGTGATGGTGCCTAGTGGTGTCTGTAATGATTATGAAGATGCCGGTAAGCGAGGTTATGATGGTGATGTAAACGACGACAGTGACTATCTACCCGTTCCTATCCTAATATGTGTTGTGCAACACTAGTCAACACCTTCGAAACTGTTGAGTTCACTCAGGAACCACCTATGGACACAGGAACCAAATGAAGAGAGATAATTCACGCAGACGAAATGTAAAATACATGTACTGCACTTCAATTCGCACGGCTCAGTGGGCTGATGCGAAAACAATCTCTCACGGCTGCCCTGAAGCTGGCTTAAGCTTTATCCGCTTCGGTTATCAATCGGATAGACATGCATTAACATAGGGGCCTTGTCTTCTGGCACATCAGTTATTAGGAAGAAAATCCTCTTAACCAAGTATGAGAATAGACGGTGTTGATGGGGGAAGGGGGGGGGGGCACGACATTGTGTTGAGCGCGTTAATCTGACTACAGCTGATAGAGATTGCGTCCAATGACATTTTAATCCCCCTCGTTTGAAGGTGCAAGGGGTTCGCCCTTAAAGAAATAGGTTGCTTTCTAAATGTTCGGTTTTTACATCCACACAAAAATAAGACACGTCGTTTCTAACCACTAATTAGGTCACTGTTTGAATTATAAACTGAATCAATAATTAGGATGTTCATACAGTTTATAAGCTTCTAAATATTTCCTTACGGTCGGCTGATATTTTGTCACTTATGTCTTGAAGTGTTTACTAAGCACTCAGGAAGGTCGAGCTAATCCAACGTGCATTAAAAAGACCCCATGAGATTGAGGCCTCCATAATGAACTCTCATTAACAGCTGTACAGTGGTGTCCTTAATGGCGATGAACGCGGATCATAAGGGGGACAAGGTTGATTTCGAGAACAAGTCTGATGCCGAGGAGAAGAAGGTTAAAGACAATGATCGTTATGGTTTGATATCATAAAATAAGACGCAGCTGTAACTAGTAAGAGTTGTTATGAATATGGTATTAATTTTGACGATGGCTCCAACGTCGCTGAGGATAAGCATAAACTGTGCGTGCGCATATCAAGATTGGGTGACTTTCGCTTTTAGGATAAATAACTTCGGTTTGCGTGCAAAATTCCTGTTCCGAATGAAGTCCAAATACCAAAACTTTTAGCTGCAGCGTGTAAAATGTGTTTAAATGATTTTCATGTTTCACGAACTATTCACGATTCACGAACTTTAGTCTGGCTACCTTGTGCTTACATAAAAGCTAGAATTTGGGAACCGGTTTTGCCCAGTAGACGGAGTTTTCATCTGCTGTGTCTATCACATGAAAAAGTCGTATATTGATGTGCGCATGCGCAAATGGAATACTAACCTGACTTATGCAATCACCAACAGCATTACAGAGAAGAACATTTTGAAAACGATTGCGTGCAAGGGAGTGTAGGCTTCACAGTGGGTACATCCATGCGGCTTGTGCGACTGCTGCCTCAACAACATGAGAGAATGTGACGTCTGACTGTGTATCGCTTTAGGCGGGAACATTTTTGCGTCAGGCCCCAGCAGACAGACGGGCCGGGGCAGATGGGTAATTTACCCGTCCAGGAATTACTGCTGATGTCGTGCTGAGTCAATGACAAGTAGATCGCTTATTGACGATCGCTATATGCTGCTTCGGTGCAGGGATACAAACATATGCCCCTGCACATGAATGTTTTAGAATGGTATGATGAGAGTCATGATGCAAGGTCAAGAGGCATTTTAATGATCAAATCGCGGAACAGCAGTCACAGAGGGAGGTATAGCTTCAACTTTTTTTATGACACCACTCAACAGTACTTTGGCACTGTGCATTATTGAATATAGGTTTGATATAAATATATTTTTAACAAATAAAACAGAAGATTAAAATTGGACTTTTCTTTTAATTTTAGTTTCTGACATAAATTATCGGCCAGTCTAAAAAAAATTGAAACATTTAACGGCATAACGAAATTATTTATCGATTAAAATAACAATTTTATGTCTCAAGATTTCATCTCAAATATTCACAAGAAAGCAATTATCGTTTTTACAACAAGATTCGTCATTCAAAAACACTATCTTGATGAGCATAACCAATAACTTAAGACAGGAGACAGATAATAACTGCAAAGCATTGGGCGGGCCAGAAAGCCTCATGGGTATCTCAAACCCATAGTCATACACGGCATATTTATAAACATTCTGTCTGACAAATTACGAAGACATTCCACTAGGGAATTCCGATGTCTACAATTTTATCTATTCAATGCTAACAAGGAAACATAAATGCTAATAAGGAAGCAAGTAGTCAAGATGTCGATAGGCATTGAAATAGCAGCTAAAAAAATATGTACTCGAAAATTAAGTTATAGTCGAAGAGGCTAATTTAAGGAATATTTTTCATTTGGTTTGGAATCTGATTTCCAAAATTTGTTTAAATTTTTGGCAGTATGCTTAGAGGCATATCTGTCTATAGATAATTTGGAGTCATGTTCTTCTAGATATGCACACACCCGTCTACTAAACCCTTTAGTGCCAATCGTAGACACAGATTAAATTAAATTTTACTTGACTGTATTACTCACTCAATTTTCCGATATTGCAATCTGCTCTGTTTGTATAGTCAGTGTGGAAGCCACACTGCTCGCTTAATAAGGTAGGTAACAAGCTTAACATAATTACCAAAAAAGGAAGCTCAGACGTATAATTGAGGAAAAGGCTCCCAGCTTGTATTACTCATGTGACATTTACGAGAAGCGTCATCAGATACTTGTCGGCGTTAAGGTTAATGTCATAATTACTAAATATTCTGGAATCTTCGTCAAATCATAATACTCATGAGACATGTGAATGATTCCCCAATGCTTGTATTGCAAAGCCATTTTACAAAATAAACAGGACCCCACACGCGAAAATAGAATACACCAAAACGATTTCAATGATTAACTTGCTGTATATTTTGATCGAAGACATTTTTCGTGTTATATTTTTAAAATGTTTTTAATTAGTGCCAAATCACAGTTTCCCATTTTTAATATATCCAATTATCCATGCTTAAAATTAACGAAATGTTCCCGTCAAGTTCTAAAGTTCAATATATCAAAACTCCTAAAACGCTATTCCAAACAATTTTCATAAATCTTCTGTAACATCACATCCAACGTATTAATCGAATACATCCTTAATTAAAGATGTTTCGTTTTACCTTTTAACTTAGCAAAAACTAATAGCAGTAAATATGTTTTAAAGGAAAACATTTGTTTATACATTCCTCGATAGATCTTAGCTTCTAAGCTTGTGATTATACAGAGAGTACTATTAATCTGCATTTTGTAAACACGTATAAGACGAGGGCACGTCTCCTCTTACTCGTAACAACATCAATAAACACACGATTACAAAACATAAGAAATACATTCAAATTGTTTTGAAGATTTTAAAGAATGCAACGACACTTGAAGACGTTGCTTAATCACAGTCTCAAGAGAGTCTTGCATGCCGATGCAAGGAGCGCTCTCATTGATATGATCAGGTTGAGTAATAATAAATTGCTTACCGTTTACAGTACGAATCGTTCCATCTCCGGCCGCTCACATAATGTCGACCAGGAGCGAATGTCGAAGGCTGCGTACACGTACACCGCCGTATCCACACACACAGGAATCAGAACAAACGGGAATAATTAGAATTCTAACTCGATTATCCCTATTTCTCTGCTGGAGTAAAATGGCTTCAGATGGTTGTATCCTCTTTCCGATGTCGGTCTGTCAGTAATGGGTCCAGTATGCGTGCGTGTGTTCGCTGTGTGTGCAAGCCAGAGAAGATTTCAGTCCTCCGCAGTGCATGTCACTGCGAGCCAGCCACGGCACATATAACCACACCAAATGGCACGACGCTCCGTTAGTAGCGTCATTACACACGACCAGCAAATTTAATTTACTCGCTATCGACTATTTTTTTTCTCGGCCGCTGGTTGCCGGCACCGCCGGCAGCGCAGCGTTGAACACCGGGAGGAATGTCGGTTCGTTACAGTGCATCGACTGAGTATTTCCCCTGGTACCCAGTTAGCACTGATATTACAGCATGTCACCGAACCCGTTTAGTTTCGTAGGTTTCTTCTTGTATTATCCTTTCCCAATAAAGTCCAAACATCAAGGAATGTGCCATCCTGGTCGGATGTCCTTCGATAACGACCTTGGTATCTTTTAATTTCTTTTATTTCGATTTTCAAATTGGGTCCTGAGTGATTTGTCCTTCTCTATGGTGATACCTATCTCTTAAACGTAATGGTTGAAACAACAGCCTTCTTGTAAAAAGTAGATTTCCAAGTTGCTGACTTTCATCTTGCAATAAGGATAGTAAACAGTAAAAACACGGGCATCGAACTTCTATTTATTAACAAGTACTTTGTTGTCTTACGATGTTCATATGTAAGTATTAATAATTGGTGCGCATATTAGAATACTGGAACCAGGCAGAATTATATTGCTTACATGTTGTTAAGACCTACATCATGCAAAACCTAAATCTCAAACAGTACCAACTATACTCAGCATAACCCAAGTGCAAACGGGTAGCAAATTGTTTTTGCACTGTTGAATAGAATAAATAAAAACAGCGCCCCCACCGTCGGAATGACCTTTAGTTTGAATTTAACCAATTAAGACCGCCATATTGGGCGCATCTTGTCGTAACTTCCATTGAAGCTAATTGGTATGAGAGCCATCCACAACAAGATATCTACTGCATAACCTGCTAGTAAGTGTGTTATCTATAATTAGACCTATGTGTATATTATCAAAAGTATCTAGGGAGATATCAGATAAAGACTTTCACAACCCACACAAGGAATTGCAGTTGCTGTGTGTTATGCCCCCAACTTAAAACACCATTAATTATCAAGCATGTTTTTACGAATGATCTAGGAGTAAACAAGCACAAAATCATATACGCAGTGTATCAAGACGAAATGTTGCATCAAGGCAACCCAAAATGCTATATAGAGACCATTTTATTTCTTAAAATGCAGTGGACCTATAGGGCTCGTATCATTTACAAACTACACGATCGAATGACTAAGGTCATGGACAGTTCTTAGATGATATCTAATTATAGAATTCCCATTTTTGCTTGGAAACCAACGACCTCATCACATGATGCTTAAAGTCAAGATCTTCCAGACTTTTTCCCCAGGTTGTGTACTATAAGGAAACATTGTCAAATTCTCTTCGTCATTGCGGCTTAAGTCTTAGGATATTTACGTAACAGGAAAAGTAGTCGATGCAAGCCTTTTTTCTGTACAGTAACGTCTGAATTAGTAATGGTGATGGACGAGCTTAGGGTTGATACGCTTGACATTTAAAATGCCACCAGCCTGTTACTAATTTTTACCTCCTCTCTCATACTAAGGAGAGATCAATTCAGCTGTTTGTTCATGTAACAAAGTGTGGAAATTAGTCGCACTATATGTGCAATGACGGTCGGTCCTTTTGTGTAAAAAAATCGCCATCTATGGTGAAGTTGGGTTTTGTTGGTAATTATAAAAAAAAACTTTAAAAGTGAATGTGACTGATTTCCTCTTCAATACAAATTATCAGCATCACTTTATACTTTCGTTCGGTAACGTGAGCGACGCTCTGCGTTCTATAGAAATAAGGTTCGGTATGCCAACTGGGCATGTGCACATGATATTCGCATCATAGCAAATTTATCAAAGATAAACACATTAGATACCTTGGGCAAAGGGACCTTAATTTGTAATCTGCAATTTCTAATAATCAAAATGATGATTGAGCACATAAAATACGAAAAAACGTGGTGTAGTCCAAAGCTTTTTTAAATTTACCCCATGTTTTTTGACATGTTTTGTTTTCCAAAACAACAAGTAGCTTGTTTATCAAAGTGGGATTCGCACCTGACACCAGCTGGGCCCAATTTCACAGCGCTGCTAAGCACAAAACATTTGCTTAGCACAACAAAAGATCTGGCTTATAAACTGGTTACCAGCCAAAACTCCATGTGATTTTCATGTTAAGCAAACAACAGCTGAATACTAATCACGAGCAATATACATCACGTCGAATTTTGGCTGGTAACCTGCTTTAACAAGCTAGACTTTGTTTGTGCTAAGCAAATGTTTGTGCTTAGCAGCGCCGTGAAATTGGGCCCAATACTGCGGCAAGTCGACGGGCAAGAGGCCAAAAGAGCTCTGGTATACCCGCTGACGTGAAACAACCACAGGCACGAGGCACTGGTAGGGTTGTCCCGGAACAAACGCCGGAACAAACCCGACCCCGTTCTGCTTGGCGGGGATAACCGCGAGCCCCGTCCAATCTCCAGATCAAACAAAACCAAATTAGACATTCTGACACGGTGCTGACGAAACCCAACACCTGACACGGTCTGCTCCGAGCAGCCTGCTCGGCCAGGCTGCAACTTAAGACTCAAGTTTCACCATCAGCAGCAAATCATTTTCTTTTTTCAATTTGGTATTGACATTTTTTTCTTAGCCAAACAAACAGCGAAGTAGAGGGGGACTCAAATGTTCAGGAAGGCCCCAGAATCAATAGGAGAATTTTGTTTTGGAAAGTACAATAAGCTGGCAATTATAGTTTGATTAGTTGCATTTTTTTTATCCGATCTCTGAGTTCAGTAAGTTAAATCAAGAATCACTTTTCCTCCTTCCATTAGTCTCATGGCGGTGATTTTTTGACATAATGTTAAAAGGGAAACTAAAATGTCATAGAGAATATTAAATTGTCATACATCAGTTTTAGATATTTCATAAGTTATTTCTTATTGATTGTCAAGAACGAAACCGAACCGACGTAACAATTAACATATTATCAAGTTTGAAAAATTATAACTCTTTTTACAGGGCAGTGCCCCCTGCATTTTAAAATGACTATAAATTTGTGATTCTTATATCTTATCTTTGCTTACGGTTGTCAATTGAGTTCATATAAATAAAACTAATTGATGAAATTCATTGTGATACTTCTAGCCAACGGAAGAACAGCTCTTCTAATTTAAAACACAACATCGCTCACCTTTTTTTTGAAACAGAACTATGGAATGTGCGATATGAATACTGCCTCATCCATCTCAAGTGGCATGCTGTGACAGACAGTCATGCATATTCGCCGCTAAATATAGACCGTCTTCTCTCCTTGCCTCTGTCTTTCTCTTTTCTGATGTTAAAACAAGAGAGGAGAAAATCCATGAGACGCAAAACCTTGAACTCCGAGCGAAAAATCAAAGCCTTCGTATTTTGGTCGGGCCAAGCTGAATCAACACAGACGGGTTCAAGGCAGGTAAGCATTGACGTCATTCTCCCCCTCGATATCAATATATTAAAGCTCAGTCTGAATAATTATATTCATATGGCTATAATTTACGAAGTGAGCTTTTTAGCGGTTGGTAAACATATTTTGCAACTTTTCTTCATGATATTGTTATACAGTGTTATGTATTGCCGCGCTTTACCATTGTCGAAAGGTTTGAAGAGCGACCGAATAAATAAATGAACCAAAACAAATGCAACAGATTAATGATTTATTAAAATATATAAAAATAAAAGGAACAAGTGTATTGAGACAGAGGAAATCCTAATTATTATACAGGTGATAAAAAAAAAAAACTAAACCCATATGGCAGGACCGATTTTTGAATGATTTTTTTCCTGCACCACTTTCACAATTCACATGCATAGCGCATACCTATGAAAATTGTTTTTGTTTTGCTGAAAGCAACCTACTTTTTTGTGATCCGTGAACAGAAGTATTAAACTGTGTTTGTGTTCAAAATTCCGTAACTTGAAAAGTAAAGGGGTGATTTGAATGATTCTTGTACTAAAAGAAAGCTTAATTACTGGACTAACATATCTTAGATTTTAAAATTGCTACAGACAAAACTTCTTTCATTTTTTTCCTAACCCCGTTTAGGAATTCGTCCCGAAATTTGAAGAGGAAATTTACTTGAAGTTATTTCATATTTTTCTTCAGAACAAAAGACCACCCCTAAAATAATTTAAAAAATAAAAACAAACACACCGAGGAAAATATCTTTAATAAATTGACAAGTCAGTAAGATAAAAGAACGATAGTGAGAATTATGTACATCGTGAAATATAAAAATTAATCAATATAACTATTTTTTCAGCTACTTAAATATTACAGGGTTTCTTATGTCATTGATTTTCTCTCTAATGATGCTTTTCAATTAGTCTCCGTGTCTAATCTTCGCCTTCATTAAACGTCTTGTTAGTTCCGGTGACCTTTTGGGAACAATCTTCACTCAAGCGGCTGATGCGTCTTTAAGTGCCATTTGGAATTCGCGATTTTAGTCCACGTCTTCATTTAAGTAGAGGATGCGGTAGGATATCCATCGTGAGCTACAACACGTTATCTAAGCACTAACCAAGGTGAAAACATGTTGTCATGGTAATTTATTTCAGAGCGAAAATGTAATTTTAACCACACTAACGATTTTGTTTTGTTTAAACAGACAACACGAAAGCTTAAGAAACACATTTTGTTTTCATCTTTGGGTAGTTCTTAATATGATTGATTGATGATTGTTATGTTCTACAGACGAAAATGTGAGCTTCCTTTTTTGAGCGGGTCACAGTTTTACCTTTGACCTTTTTGACTTAATATATCGTATCATACATAAGACACATGTGAAATAGATACTTCATTTTATCTTAACTATGGATGTTTGATTTGTTGAGGGAACAAATGAGCATTTTCGGCAAAACGAACAATAACAAAACGAATCTCAGGGTATAAATTGAAGAAAATGAAAGTGAAAATATTCATACCACTATAATATGAATAGGCGTGAAAATTTAATAAATATGTCTTTTAAAATATTTGTTGCGTAAAAGTTTAGAAAACAGTTATAATTAGTATTGAAATATCAGATTGGATTGG